CCTTTCACTTGCAAAGCTTGTATCACAAGGCCAAATAAACCCAGATTAAGCTAAACTGTTCTGTTAAGCCATTATACATCCATAGACTACAGCAGCACAGTAGTATTTTCTGATGTTTTCTGAGTTTATGTGCTTTTAAATATGTATTTCCATCCAGGTTGGTGATGGAGCATGCATTAAAGTGATCACAACAAGAGTGCATGCCCCATTGAGGTCTCAGAACAGTGTGAAGGGTGAGTCACATCCGTTCAGTATTGCCACTTATTGTCACGAAGAAGACGAGGAGTCCAAAGTTCCAATGCAAAGTGTTCACTAACAATAACATGACTAAAATCGGTACAGACAGGTAGAAGGTTCACACACACTAGATGGAAAATATAACTTTTTGGACCTTGACATCCTCTGGTCTCCATCCACTTTCATGATATGAAAGCACTGACAAGCAAATAATGCAAATAATGACAACTGCCCTTTTATAAGAGATCTGAACTGCAGCTAAAACTCCTCAGGCCACATTTACATCTGTGCATCTTGTCACATCGAGGCACACGAATTAAAAATGGTCTTGTGTTAAGGAAGTGGTGGCATAGGTGTCTAAACTGTCTCAGTGTTTGTTTTTATACCACATCCTACATCTGTCAGTGTAGTCTCTTAGTGACCTCTATTATTTTTGATAGTGCTTTATAATAACTTTCATTTAGTCACTGATAAACATTTTTGGACACAGGAAAGTTTTTTTCTATGTATATAAATATAGATTTAAATCAAGGTCCAACATTTTGAATTGTCTGTATAAGTATCATGAATTTTCATACTCGATTACGGGTGTTGCATACAGCAACTGCATTATGCAGGTTTGGTTAGACGTGGGTTTCCCTCTCACCTAAACCCACCGTGACCACAGTGGAGATTTAATAATTTAACATCAGTCTGTAATACCCAATGATGCCTAAGTGTTGGGTTGACACTGCTTATTCATTTACTCATCATCATGGTGTTTTGTTGCACAGATGACGTGAACTTCTCTATCAAGTACTTCCATATGGTGAGTACACATTTAGGGGCCATTTTTACTTCTGTATAAAGTCTGTTTTGGTGTGTCCTTCCTTCTCCATTCACTGACACACCTAATATGTGAAGAAATGACTGTTGTGTTTTCATGCATGGGTCCTTGTCAAGGGTTCATGAGTTATATCTAGTTGGCATTGCCATGACACTGCAGTGAAGTGAGTGTGGGCGTGTGACACTTTCAGTTTTGCCACCTTCCTGTTTAAAACGGTGCTTTTAAGTGAATCTGAAGATAAGAATCTCAGTGCAGTTTGTTTTGTTCAAAGTGACAGCTTAAACATTTATGTTGCAAACACTGTCTGTACACATGAGAATAAATTCTTGTAAAAGATCTTGAATTATATGCATTGACAATTTCAACCCAAATGTTTTGTTTGGTCTAGGTCGATCCAGATGTCGAAACAGACCTGAGCAAACATCCCGAGAAAAAAGCATTAAAATTCAAAGAGATGTACCTCACCAAGCTGCTCTCCACCAAGGTGAGAATAACCGACACATAGAAGCATTTTATTGTATAAATAGTTTGACCGATGAACAGATAAACAGATGGACTGAGGGAAACACGTATTTTGGTCCCCATGAGGGTTATAAACAGCTTATAAATCATATAAAATTATGTTTTTTGAAAATGTAAAAATGCAGAAACTTTTCTGGGATTGGTAGGTTTAGGGCTAGTGTTAAATTTAGAAGATATTTGTATAAAAAGTATACAAAACATTTTGTCTATGGAATGTCTTGGTAAAATATGAAAATTCAATGATGTGTCCACCAGGTGGCAGTCCATTCTTTTGTTGAGACCCTTTTCAAGAGCATCTGGGGATTGCCCAACAACAGGGCACCAATGGCTGTCAAGTATTTTTTCGACTTCCTGGATGTACAAGCAGAGAGAAAAAAAATCTCAGATCCAGATGTTCTCCATATCTGGAAAACAAACAGGTGCTCCATTGAAGTACACTTTTGCGCATAGATATCCACAATAAAGGCTAGACGTCTTACGGCGGAGTTTCACCGGTGGCCATCTTGGCACAGGCAAGCTGATGTAAGATGAGTGATCAGCATGAACACAAATACTCTTATCTCGGTGAAATCATTGACGGATTTACAAACGGTTTGGTTTCTTACAAACGCTATAATTCTGGATGATTATTTATTTATACACTTCTATATCTATACTATTCATAAGTGTGCAGTGTCATAACTACATCTCTGATGTTTATAACAAACCAAACCGTTTGAAAATCGAGCAAGTTATGGTTATTTTAAAAGTACATGCACCATTAAATTAAAAACACAATGTTACGAGTGAGCGAACTTCCTGTGACAAGATGGCCGCCAGGTGCGGACGTCCACCTCCATTCGCCAGTAGCGCGGGACGAGAGATCAAGCCTTCATTGTGGATATCTATGCTTTTGCGTAGCTCCACCAATAGCTGCACTGATCAGTTTTAAATGTTCATGCACAACTAAAAAGATTTTCTGACCTCCCTATCAGCCTCCCGCTTCGTTTCTGGGTGAATATCCTGAAGAACCCTGACTTTGTGTTCAGTGACATGGTAAAGACGCCTCACCTGGACGGCTGTCTGTCCGTCATCGCTCAGGCTTTCATGGACTCCTTCTCACTAACTGAGCAACACCTAGACAAGGTAACCATTGAAGACTAAAATGGAAAACTGAATATCAGAAAAATGATTGACCTTATTCTCCTACAGCATTCGCCAACCAATAAGCTACTCTATGCCAAAGATATCCCTCAGTACAAACAGGAAGTGAAGTCGTATTACAAGATGGTGAAAGACCAGCCTTCTATCAGCAGCCAAGAGTTGAAATTATTTCTTCAAGATGAGTCAAAGGTACAATTTGTCCTACACAGTACCTAGCGATTTAATGAAACATCTTGACGAAAATATGGTGATGAATAAATGGCTAATGTTAATTTCCCTTCTTCATCAGAAACATCAAAATGAGTTCAATGAATCTGCAGCTCTGCGTGAACTCTACAAATACATGCTCCGCTACTTCAGTGAGGTACGATTCCCGTGTTATGATCTACTCTTTCGTGCATTCGTGGCAGTTTCACAGAACAGTTTCGAAGGATTTTCAGGCATTTTGAAGCCACAGAAATTCTAAAAAGGAAACCTATTTTGACACTTTAATGACAACACTTTCACATCCTGTTTTAGTTCAGGATGTTAGAAACCTGTTTTGAAAGGAGACTTGATACTTTACTTTCCACTAGTAATCATTTAACGGTTGGGAAATTCTAGAATTATTAAGGTTTCAGATTGTAACTTTTTCTTTCTCTACAGGTTTCTCAGAAGCTGGAGCAGACAGACGCCCCCGCTAGCTTGATAGAGGACATGCACAAAGTTAAGGAGCTTTTTGACAACATGAAACGAAGTGGTTGGAGCTGAAATTGGTATTCACGCTGCATCATGTTTGTTTTTAAGCTGGAAATTAAACTGAAAGCGTCTCCCTCATAGAGACTGCCATCATCATCTATCATATATTAGGAAAGACAGATTGACTTCTGTCTATTGGACACTTTTGGGACCAAGTGAATGTAATATATGTTGATGAACTAGACTTTTAAGGTCCAAAGCTGTCACTGGTGTTGTACCCTAAGGTACAAAAGCTAAAAGGAACTAAGGTACTAATATATCATACAAAGATGTACCATTTCACTTTTGTACCTTAGAGTACTACACCAGTGACAGCTTTGTTCCTTTATTTTCGAGTGATCGAGCTTATATTGGACTAACACTGGGCTGTTTATACAATGTATCTCAAAAATATTACTTTTTATGCAAATTAATGCAAATCTTGATGATTGATATGGTGTAGTTGTATTTTTTCTGTTGCCTAAATCATGTATTCTTTTACTACAGGATCTGCCTTAATACATTAATCTGCCAGGTCAAGCATTGTACGTTCCTCCTTTTTAAAATAGACAAAACAACGTTTTTGCTGTTTTGCTCTGGTCTGACTCTGCACTATAGCCGACTAATAAAATGTGTGTTTTCTGTAAAGTGATGTTACATGCACAATTGAGATCACTGTACTTTTTTGTTTTTGTTTTGTCGCCCTCTATTGGTCACACTAGTTATTCTGTACAAGTTTTGTAGTCATATGTTTTTGCTCAGGACATAAAATATGTATTGATTAATTAACATTCTGAACAATAAAAATATTTTTAAATTATTTTGGTGTGTGTTAGTTTGCCTGTCACTATGCCAAATGGTCATTTCTGTATAGGAGTATGGCATTTCCAATCAATAATAAATTGATTTATTATTACTGTCATAGTTTGAGACTTTATTCAATCATTTATTCTCTTTTTTTTTTGAAATAAAGATATTTTTTATTCATAAAGAATGTGTTAAATTGATAAATTAAAGATTTATGCTGTTAGAAAAGGTTTCTATTTTGAATAAACGCTGTTCTTTTTAACTTTTTATTAATCAATGAATCCTAAAAAAAAAGTATCAGTTTCCAAAAATTATTAAGTAACACAACTGTTTCCAACATTAATAAATAAGTATCAAATCCGCATTTTTAACGATTTCTGAAGGATCATGTGACACTGAGGACTGGAGAAATTATGAAAATTCAGCTTTTCATCACAGAAATAAGTTATATTTTTTTAAAAAAGAAAACCATTATTTAAAATTAAAAATTTTTTTTTCTGTATTCCTTATAAATATAAATGCAGACTTAATGAGCATAAGAGACTTTTTTCAAAAACATTAAACAGTAATGTTTCATAATACTCTCTCTGTATATGTCTAAATATACAGAGTAGTGATGAATAAGATAAAAAATAAATCTCTCCGACCTTATCCGACCTAATGGAATATAAACACTGAGCTAAGATGTGACGTAATCTTGGGTGAGCCTCATTTTCGTGGGGTGCTCTTGCGCATGCGCGCTTGTCCACAGACGCGTCACTGCGCATTCAACATGGACCCGACGGTAAAGCGGTAGCGACGGACGCGTCTACAAGTCATGTTTATATTCGCCTATCACGACGCTTCAATATTCCAAAGGAAACACTCCGTTTGACCGGAGGAAACCTAAAATGTATGGCTTTCAAACTCTACCGCCCGTCCTTGGATAAGTGACTGATGAGAGACCGGTCATGGCTGGATTGATCAAGAAACAGATCCTGAAACACCTCTCCAGGTCAGAACTGATCCCTTACTGACACACTTTACATACATATCGATGCCTGATAAATATAAATCGTTGGTCTAAGGCTGGGATGATTCCCGCTGATGTGGCTGTGCTGGATGACACATGCTGATGGGTCATAACTGGGGTTTGACAGCTTGCCAGAGAAAATGCTGTTCCACTGGGTTGACGTCAAAACATGTTTTGGGTGTCATGTCTCCAGCCAAACGAGTCGGTCTGGCCTCATCTTAATGTGTTTTTATGGGTCAGTGTGATACATAGCTGGCTAAATCTCGTTCTAGATGTCTTCTGGATGAAACTACCCCTCATCCCGTTTTAGACAGCTTTGGTAATAAGTGGATTTACTCTTTACAGGCATGACAGCCCGACTCCATTTCCAACCTTATGTTGAATTTGGTTGACACTTTAATGTCAGTTTCAAGTTATCAAGTTCAGTGATCAAATAGTCTTGTAGGATGCTTTCAGGAACACATGTAATCCATGAATTTATCCAGATATTTATCAATAATACAGAAATGTAAGGTTTTAGACTGAGTATTAAATATGAAAACCCCATGTTGATAGATCTTAAAGTCAGCATGAAACGAAAATGAACTCTGCTCATCCACTCTGCATGTTTGTTTCTTTAAACATTTATTTTTAATTAAGATTACTTGTAACTAGTTCTTCTTGTGCAGTGGTTCCCAACCCTGTCATGCCCCGTGTCCCAATTCAAAGGCTACATCTTTCAAAGGACTCTGACTTTAAAGGCAATACCTTCGAAAGCCGGAAGGTCGGACTAAGTGTTGTTAAATTTTCGGCCTCCATTTTAAAAGGATCTGCCTCATCTCAAAATACAATCAACGCATAGAACCGATACGCCATAACAATTGGAAATACACCATATTATGGATAAGCAAATCTTTTGTTCATCGATTTGTGACTTTAAATCATAATATTGAGTATGTGACTTGTGTCACCTCATGTGTCTGTGCTGATTTTGAGCGTAATGTAACACATCACCAGGCCTAGATCAACTGATTTGAACTTTTTGCGCTAATAATCTGCAGAATGTCAGTGGAATTACATGGTAAAAGAGCTGAGAGGTCTGCCAAACCATTTTGGCCAAATATTAAAGGGATAGTTCACTAAAAATTAAAAAAAAAAAATACTCAACTTCATATTGTTGTTCCAAATTTGAATGACTTGAATTGCACATTTTGGGGTTTAAAACAGCATTGGACCCAATGACTTTTCATTGCATTGACAGAAAAATACAGACAATTGTGACCTAAGGTAGTAAACTATTTTCAATTTTGGGTGAAATCTCTTTAATACACAGCACAAGGAATGTGCAGAAGATATGTAAAACTTTCCAAAAATGTTCCAGTTGTGTTGAAATCTCTAGGACTTTTAAGGCCCATTCACACCAACATTGGTAACTACAAAGATAACTACATGCACCAATGCACAAACACATTCTGTTATTAAACACACTCTTCAGTTATATCATTTGCTTCATTAAATAGTCAAGCTCTTTAAAATTTTGATGGATTCTGATTTCAGTGAGACCGTTCCTCAGTTGTGGCGTGGACTTTCGTATTTATTTACAACTTTATAGTCATCATCATTATAGTTATTGTCCATGGCCCCTTAGACAGTCAGCCCTCCAAATGCGTAGGTGGTTTGAGTCACGTCTATCCGTGTTCAGTTTGTTGTGGAAACTTGAATTAAGTCTGGGTGGATTGTTAGGATGAGGCCTGGGTTCAACAGAAACAACGTTTCGCCTTTTGCTGTGGAGTGCACATTGTGCCAAATGGTTTCACTATTGTTTGCCATTGTAGTGTCCGTTCTTGGGTCCAACCTACCTGCATTATTTATTCCCTCAGTGGAGCGTATCCAGATGAAATGCAATACAACTCCTATTCATTCAAAATGACGCAAGAGGCATTTGGTAAAAAAATCTTATGGTGTTCCTCATTTGATAAGCAATATCTCACTTCCACGATGCTGTCCAATCAGCGTGATAAATTAAAAGTGTGTGGGATGGGTCGTAACTTTTGGCCATGCCCTTCAGGGTGAATATGTTTAGAGCTTGTGCGTGTTGTTTGCACACTCTGCGTTTTTTGGAGGAATAGTGGCGCTCAAGGCCTCCTAAAAATGAACTCTGTGGACTTTGACTTATATTGTTTAAATTAATTTACCATTGAGAGACTTTCGCCCAGACTTTGACCTACAAAAAATCAAGTTTTCGTCTTGTGTCAGCACTTTTTCAGTCTGTAATAGTCTCATATTTATTGTTAGGCTATAGCTTATCAGATTTTGTTGGTACGTTGGGTATGTTACGTTACGTTATTTTGTTAAATATGCAATATATTTACTATATATATTTAATATAAATACATTTATAAAACTAAACTATTATATTATGTATGTTATAGGCCTATATATTATAATATGTTTTTGGAGAGGCTGAATTTGTGAAAATCAGAAGATGCCCTGGAAAGCTCTGAGTGAAGCTGTAGGCATTTTTCAGAGGAAAGAAACTTGGCCCGTATTTCCAGTCCGTGGCTCCTATTAGTAGAAGATGAATTAGAAAACACAGTCCTATCTTATCTGTTTGTGCTCATTGTTATGCTTTGTAAAACCAGGGTAAAACTCCTGTGGTGGTTAAGGAGGCTTTGCCCTCTTAGAACTAGTTTTTCAGATACTTCGAAAATATATTTTCATGAGCGAATCAATATGATTCCTAAGACCAGTGTTGGTCTGAAGAGATAGTTCACCAAGAAATGACATTACTCACATTTGTGTTGTTCCAAACCTGGAATAGCGGATGTTTTTCATATAATGAAAACGGATAGAGAGAGACAACTATTCAAGTTCTCTGTTTGGAAAAGAGCAGCCTGAATATCCTGCTAAACTTCTTTTGTTCTCCATGAAAGAAAGTAAGTCATACAGGTTTCTAAAGCCCTGAGGTCGAGTACAATAGAGTTTAATCATTTTTGACTTAATGTTTGTCTGATTTGATTTTGTTTCATTTGATTGAAATCTAAGTACCACAGCGCTCGTTGTGCATTTCTTCACCAGGAGGAATAAAGTGTTTTTTGAATGGAAGACTGTGTAGAAAATCAATACACACCCAGGAAAAAGGCAGCGGTCTGACTGACACAATTGAACAGATGCATTCCCAGGTGCATATTCTACAGCACTTCTGCGGAAACTGTCATTCACAGTGTGTGTGTGTGTGTGTGTGTGTGTATGTTTTAGCATTGATCAGGTTTATTGCAAAAGACCTGACATGGCTGACAAGCAACATGTTGCTCTTTAGAAGCTTTCGGTCGATATGTTTAACTGTATAACTCCTAGTTTAACAGTTACTTCCTGTTACTCCTGGACCCAAACAGAAACAGAATCAGGATCCAGGGTTTGTTCCACATATTGAGGCCGAGGTTTCACATCACTGTTGTGTGAAATGAAGTGAAACTTAAAGCACCTTTTACATTTATCCAAATGGAGGTTGTCTGATCGCAACTGCACACACCCACACAGACTCAGAATGACTGCTGATGGAGTTTCCCCTTGATTCACCCATTTGGTAGTTTGACTTTTGCTGTTTTAGCACGTTTTAGAAAGACGAATGCTTGAAATTGAGTTTTTGCTGTGGTTGTGTTGAACGACTCGGTATAATGAAGCTGATTTGACCAAATATAGATATTCTAACCAACATATACCCAAAATGAATCAGAATTAGATCACAAAAGTTAAATTTAAATTAAAGTTAGTTAAACAATGTTTTTGGGCATATGCCTAGAGGTCTATGTTTATATGCAAGTGGACGGTTTAGTTCTGGACTATTGCTCGGGTTGATCAGTGTTTGTAGGCCATAAAAAGAGTAATAACGTCTTCTGTCAGGACTCCGGAGGAAAGCCCTTAGTTTGTAAAGTAAGCGTCTGTTCTCTTTTACCGCTGTTGTCGTGATGTTCGTACTCGCTTCTGTCAATGTTATCGCCATGCCGACCTTCCTCGGGTTCTGTCCCTCAGCTGTTGTTCTCTAACGACTCCCATTGGATGCTGTTTTTTTCTGCCTAGAATTCATCCATGCACCTCTAGGGGCTCGTCTAAAACCCTGTGCTGAGATGCAGGATGGCTCTATGAGGTCAAACGCATTGCATTTATGTTTGTTTATGTGTATCATTTTGACATTTGCATAGGGTCTATGAGGGCTTTTGTCATCCTGTGAATAACTGCTGCGTTTGGGCTATTTAGAGCTCTCCTTCTGTGTCCTTGGCGTAAAGCATTAGATTAATAAGTCACCCTGACGGGTACAATCTCCATCAAATATCTTGTTCAAGAGATGCCCACACTTTGAAATTCATCCAGTGAGTGCAATGATTCAAAGCTGCTATTGTGTTAGATATGGTTTACAAAATACACTAAATTTGTCTTGTTGATTTTACACACTTAAATTTCAAATTTTGACTTTTTCCTCTAAGCATGTTGCTTGGCTTATTCTGCACAATTAGTGCACATTATGTCTAATGAATAAATGTTTGCATTTGTATTGTGTGTCATCCCAGTAACTCTGGAACCATATTCCGTATTAAGTGACATCATCAAGGCCACATAAATTTTGACCAGTAGTTGCAGGCCGTGTTTCAAGTGTGGAGTTGGCTCATTATTCAGTCAATTCTCAATAAAATTAAGTCCAACCCTACATTTGTTTTGTTTTTGAAATCTTCTCTTTTTCTTGGGGAAAAAAACTTACATTTATGGATGTAAAATGACTTATGAAATTCATTTCATGTTGACTTTAAATGACTTCCCATGTTCACAGACATGATATCTATTCACTTTTGTACTTTAATACACTTTATACGGTGCCTACAGTACTGGGATGTCTTATCACTATGTCACAGAAGACACCGTATCTCTGTGAGATCATTTCCGACAGTGATGCTGAGTCAAAATGCAAATTATGACATTTTTCCAGCTTGATGTCTAATTTCTTGGCAGTATAGACAGACAGAATTCAGCATGTAAAACAAACTTAATCACACATGGTGAATTCACTGTAAAACATGACTGGACTGACATTTATGAAATAGTAGCAGCAGCGATTGTACAATAGACCAATTGTTACATTCTAATTAGAAAAACTCTTTGGCACTCAGTATAGTTTATCGCTGTTTTACAGTAACTGTGAAAGTGCCTCATCCATCAGTAAGTTGAAACGGTAAAGTTTTATAATTGTTTATATTTTCAGCTGCCTAAACAGTAGTATACTAAGTTCTAAGTTCTGCAAAATTAAGGCTATAAATTAAGTTCTGTGAGTCTACTCATTCTTCTCTGTGATTTCAGTCTATGGAGCTTTGTGCATATTATGTGATAGTTGATTGGTATGAATGAGTGTCTGTCCATGTGATAGTGGTGTTTTGTGTTGTTTAGACCCAACACCACCCTTTCCAGATCAGCAGCAGTTCTGCTATCACTGGGACAGAATGTGTTGACTGTTATAACACTGTTCGTTTTGTAGGAGGTTGATTTATAGTCTTTCAATGACATTCGTGTTATTTATAATGGGGCAGTATGGCGGTATACAGTACATCATGCATCATTATTTTTAAAGGTACAATATGTAAGATATTTGTAATAAAATATTTAAAGACCACTTGCACATTATCTCAAAAGTTCCAATGGATTTGTATTTAAATAATGGCTCGTCCCTTGTCAATCGCATATAATTACGTAATATCTGCTCTATCTTTGCTTTTCGCTTGTATATAGGCTATATATAACCATATAGGCTATATATATAGATAGATAGATAGATAGATAGATAGATAGATAGATAGATCCCTCATTAGCGGCAATTTCAATGGGCCGTTATACGTAAGCCGCTAATGAGGGATCTACTGTATCTATGGCAGGGATATTAAAAAACTAAAAACTATTAAGTAGTCTATGTGTTGCACAAAAATATTTAGTCATTACTTGCAAATACTCTGGTTTCGTTCAAATTGACTTTTAGTATGATTGTTTTAAATGTGGGCAGCACTAACCCAACAAATAGTCACATATCAGAAACTACATTTCATTGTCTTTGTAGTTAATTAATTACGATGACGTATAATAGTCTGATTAAACGTTCAGGTAATACAAAAACTAATTTATTAGATGATAAATAATTAATATGATTTGTGAATTCCACACATCTCTGCATGGTGAAAACGAAATCTCCCATCATTCCACTCTCCTTCATAGGGTCAAGCTTCGTATTTGTTATTGGTTTGAAAATGCGACCTCTGGCGGTGAAAAAACTACACATTGTACCTTTAACTGTGGGTTTTCAACATTGAAATAAGTGCTACGTTCAGTCCATCAGCACAGAATAAAGATGCATTTATCTGAGATTTGCTACTAGAAGACACAGGTGTAGTTGAGCTGAGCCCACCTGATGTCACCCGGCTGGCACCCGTCCGATCTCTTAACTGTAGTGGTGGAGCGTTCTGACCCGATATCTGATATATCAGGGACTGAAGAAGGTAGGCCGTGTGTGAATGAATATTTAACCGTTCACAGAAAACGGTTACGTAATGCGGTGGCCAGACTGTTCACGTTTCATTTTCAACTGGCTTGTTTATGAAAGTTTGCATGTTTTCATACTTCTCGTCTCGTGTTTGCTTTTGTTTCACACACAGTGATGAACAAGCCCACGCAGCGGCGGGTTTAGTAATTCACGGTTCTGTGGAAACTTCACACTTCAGTCACGATTCCACCTTTTCTGTTTTTTCCATCTTTCAATACAAAAATAGTTTTTTTGTATTGAATTTTGTTTTCCTTAGTATATTATTATGTGTTGTTTTATTGTTTCATTTTTTATTGTATGTTTTCCACCTCATTAAACAGGACTATTAAGACAGACTTTCAGGAAAATGAGTGCCATCTGACCTTTAGAAACTATTATCCTTATTTTTTATTCCATTTCATTTTAATTTATGGTATAATTATATTTTATTGTTTCATTTTGTTGTTTAATTTATTATTTATTTATTTATTCATTATCTCATGTAATTTTTTGTTTACATTTTATTCTTTTATTTTATGTTTTTCACCACATTAAGCAGGACTTTTTTGTGTGTGTGTGTGTGTGTGTGATTGATGTATGTAAATTGTTTCTTAACTGCTATGATTATGTAAAGCACATTGGGCTACCTGTGTATGAAATGGGCTATATCAATAAACCTGAACCTGAACCTGACTATTTAACGAGAGACTTTCAGGAAAATGATTGTCACCGTGTCTGACCTTTAGACACTATCATCCTTATTCAGTCCTTGGAAACACAGACGCTGTTAACTTTTATCATCTAGGCTATCTTTACATGAACTAAAGTACAGTTGTTTCTAGGTTTCCAGGCCAGTGGTTACGTCAGTGCAGTTTTTAAACACTAGTTGCCTCTATATGAGAAGCTTTAAAGTTATTGAAGTGGTTATTAGTGTTTTGTCTCTGTAATTTTGCTATAGTAATCTACTTGTAGTCCTTTATGTAAGGCTCTTTATTTGAATCTGTTGGAGTGAAACAGGATTAACCGGCTATCTAAGACTTTTTGCTACACTTTTATTACATTATTACACATTTAACGGTAACTCAAAGGAGCGACCATTTTAAGTGTAAGCGACTCTGTGTTAGTGCTTTTAAACTGGGCTAAAAGGTCAAATAAACAGCTTCAAGAAGATATCCAACTTTTTTCCCCAGAGTAACATTTACTGTGGCCACATAGGCTTGCCTTTAAGTGACTGGCTTTTCCACACCCTGACCTGTTTGTGCCATTAGCTCGCCGATTCAAAACAACTGAAGGAGGAAATGATAACAAATCAACCTTGGCGCACTGAGGGCCGTGAAGAGAACATTGCTCTTTGCGGGAACACTCTTAAACATTAACTGAAAAATCAATCAGCACGGAAACAGAAGGTCATGGCTATGCAGAGCTCCTGGTCACTATTGCGGTTTCAGATCCTCGAGGTTGCTAAATGTTCAAGTTTGGCATCAGAGAACGCTCTAAAACGATTGATTTCAGTCAGTGTGGACGGCGGGTCAGCAGTAAGATGTAAAACTTGGCCTGTCTGCGATCTCCAAATGCAAGTGTAGCAACTTTCCCCTATTGGTAGTCGCATTCATTTAAATTGTTATGGAGCTGCATTTTCACCCATGAGATGTTTTGTTTGTGCATCTTTAGTAAAAGAGCAACGACGAGAGAATTTACACTCCACTTGATGGATGGTAATCCATGGATAGATGAATAATGAATGATTAGCTTCCCATGTAAGAAAAATGACCAGCAACAGTTTTGGATTGCCAAAGGCTACGGTGTTCAATTACACAAATTTTTTGCCATCGTTTCTACAGAATCAGCATGTAAATGAGATGAAATCAAGCAAAAATATATTGATAAATCTTGACTTGTTTTGGTAATCAGAGAAATCAGCTTTTTCTAGTATGCAATCAACATTACACTGTGTACTAATGCCTTAGTGAACAGATTTACTTGTAGCATTTAAAATGGTTGATTTTATTTATTTTATTTATTTGACAAAATATATTTTTAAATATATTATATATTTAAAGTATTTTAATTCTAACATCATAGCATAGTTAATAATAATAATAATAATAATAATTGTAATAATAGCAACTTTATGTTAATAATATAATATTAACATCATTTATTTTATATTAATAATTTTACAGTCAATGTGACCTTCCATTGATGATCAGTAACTTCCAGTCGGCTTTTTGTTGTTGCAATCATTGAAAAACGTTTATCTAGAATGTGATCACATTTGCACTGTGTACTTTAATCGGTGAACTGTCATTATTGAACGTATTAATGTGTAGAAGTGTCCACACACACACACATAACTCAATGGTGGGTGGTAACAGCATGACTTCTCACTGATCTGCTTGCTTGTGAAGCTGTAATTACAGTCAAGAGAAAGTCATTAAACCATAAAAGAAAACTGCTGTGTGGTTTTCTCTGCCTCCCCTTATTCACTTCTTTTATTTTGCTGATTTTATTCCCTTTTTTCACGCTGTTCCTCTCCCTCTCTTTCTCTTTTCTGCAGGTTTGCTAAGAACCTCTCCCCAGATAAGATTAATCTGAGCACTCTGAAAGGGGAGGGCCAGCTTACCAACCTGGAGCTGGATGAGGAGGTTTTGCAGAACATGTTGGATCTGCCCACCTGGCTCGCCATTAATAAAGTCTTCTGCAATAAGGCCGCCATCCGGGTATGAGACGCTGTGACTTCTTAATAACATCATCACTATGAGTCCCTCTGACACTAGAATCATAGGATCTGCTGGGAATAGCTCTGCTGATCGAGCTCAGCCCTCTAGATTTACACTCTTGGGCTGCATTCAAATTTGCATAATGTCCATCAAACAGTTAGTAGAGATTTTTTTAAAATAAATATAAATACATTTTTACTATTACTTTTACTGTTACTATTTATTTATTTATTTATTTATTTGTGTCCTCTTTTCCCCTATTTTTACATTTTAGATTATCTTGTCGTCATGTAAACCTCACTTTCAGTTAATCTTTAAAATACATATTTAATAACATTTAATAAACTTTATTAAAAATGTAATCTTTAACAAAATGTCATTTTCATTCATTTTAATTTTAATTGTTAATAATATTATTAATATTGATTATAATTGTGAAGATTATAATAAAGATTGCATGTACATTTTTTTGTACATAATAATTCACGTGTAGTTTAAAAGGGTTTATATTGTTTTTTAGCATTTTGTTTTTTATTCATTTTAACAAAATATATTTAAAATGTTACATATGTTATCAATTTAACAACTTTGATATTATTTTTAAAATAATAATAATAATAATAATAATTTATTAATAGAATTATATTAATAATATTATTGTTAGCATTAATAATAATTATTATTGTTGTTATTATTACTGTAATTTTATTATTAATAATACATAATTTATCATTATTTTAATCATTTTCAATATTAATTATGGTTTTTATACTTAGATAATGATATTTCCTATTCCCTACCTCTGAAACATGACCGTCAAACAAACCTTTAGTGATTTTTAGATTTGAAGCATGATTTATGAATGTTTAAAATAGTGAGGACCACTTCACTTCTCATAAGTTGGCTTCACTATAATTCTGAGGATATTTTCCATAAGTCTTGGTTATACTTGTTGTGAGGGCTAAATTAAGGAAATACAATAAAACCAGTCCCTTAAAAGTGTATGTGTATAGAGGCCTGTGCTGCAGCAATATTATTAATACACACAGCATCATAGATATGAGTGCACACATCATATATCAGTGCTGCAAACAGTGCCTTTAATTACAAAGGTCAGTGTTGAATAAACTGTATATATTTTTTTCCTGCGTGTGTACAACCTAGATCCCATGGACCAAACTGAAGACTCATCCAATCTCTCTGGTAATAACATTTTATTGTTTTTTCTTCTACTTATGAAAGTGTATATATGTATAGCCTATATTCTTTGACTTTAGTTTTGTTCTAATCTCCTCTGATTAAAAGCAGTTCCATTTTCTGCAGCTTAATTGAGTCTGTAAATCATTTCTTTCAGTCTTTGGACAAAGTTGTCATGGAGATGAGCACCTGTGACGAGCCTCGCCCTCCCAACGGTCCATCACCCATTGCCACAGCCTCAGGTCAAAGGTTGGTTTCAGTTAATGGGCTCTATCAGCCTTGATTCGGATCTCTCCTCTTCTGCTTTCCTGTTTTCATGGTTGCCTCTGTTATGAAAAACCTGGATGTATATAAATTGAAAAGCCATAGAAAATATGATTTATTTTTGTATGTTTGTTTGTTTTCTTGGCTAGATATTATTTTTTGTTCAGTGCTTGTTGTAATATAGAACTTGCTCGCAATATTATGATATTACATGTTTATTTGTGGGGGTTTATTTTGTATTTTCTATTCTCTTTCTGTCAGTGAATATGGTTTTGCGGAGAAAGTGGTGGAGGGCATCTCACTCTCTGTGAACTCCATAGTGATCCGCATCAGCGCCAAAGCCTTTAATGCCTCCTTCGAGCTCTCGCAGCTCCAGGTCCTCAGCGTCAACAACAGCTGGGACACTAGTGACCTGCGACGCACGCGTATCCTGGACCCCACACGTGGAGAGGTGACACATCTCTCTGGTGTTGTGGAGGCCATAAGACATGTGTTTCTATGCTAACACTATGATGCATTCTAGATCCTAACGTTTAAGGAAGTGAGCTGGCAGATGATCAGGATTGAAGCAGATGCTATCCAGAACACAGAACATGAGGTCATCAGAGCCCCCATACGCCTCATCACCAACCAATCAAAGATCAGAGTCACTTTAAAGAGGAGGGTGAGGATACACACACGCACATTCGTTACACAACCCTCAAACAGTATGTAAATGTACAAAATTAGATCCAAACTGTCAACTTTTGGATCACTGTGTACTAGCATGTGTATTTCTGAGAGTGTGTGTGTAGCAGTCATTCTTGTATGGGTCAGTTCTGAGCTCTAGGGGCAGCCGGGGTCCATTTTTCTGTTGGTAGTCTAAATATTGGCAGCTGATTATATCGGGTTTTATTATGGTAGCATTCAGCATTGAGCACATAGAAAATGTGGGTTTTTAAATCCTAAAAAAAAAAACATTATGAAGTAATATACAAAAGACAGATTTAATATTCTGCACTATTTGTAAAAAAAAATGTTTTTAAATAAAAAAAATAAAACGTAATAAAACTGATGAACTATGTCTGTGTGTGTTTATAACAATTTTTATAATATAATGAAATAATAATATATATATATATAAATTGTATATAGATTGAAATGAAAGAACATTTTTCACACAACCTTTTAGATCGGTAAGATTTTTAAAATGTTTTTAAAAGAAGTCTCTTCTGCTCACCAAGGCTGTATTTATTTGATCCAAAATACAGTAAAAACAGTAACAATGTGAATTTTATTTTTTTTGCAATTTAAAATAACCATCCTTGCTGAATTTAATTTCTTTCCTTATTAAGTAAATCACTTCCTACTGACCCTAAACTTTTGAACGGTAGTGTATAATGTTACAGAAGCTTTCTTTTTTTTTTTCTCAAAGAATCCTGAAAAACTGTTTTCAACATTGAAAATAATCAGACTTTTTTTCTTGAGAAGCAAATAAGCATATTAAAATGATTTCTAATGGATTGTGTGTGGCACTGAAGACTGGAATAATGATGCTGAGAATTCAGCTTTGCATCACAGGAAGAAATTACATTTTACAATATATTCAAATTGAAAACGGTTATTTTAAATAATAATAAAAAATATTTCACAACAGTAGTATGTTTTTGCTGTATTTTGGATAAAATAAATGCATCAGGTTATCAGAAGAGTCTTTTTTTACATTTAAAAAAACATATCGATCTAAAACTTTTGAACAAAAGTGTATATGTTTCTGATTAAGAAATTAAGTATTTAAATTAGCTTGTTATGTATGTCCATTTATTTTTCCAGATGAAAGACTGTAATGTTGTTGCATCAAAGCTGATTCTGATCCTGGATGACCTGCTGTGGGTGCTGACGGACTCTCAGCTCAAGGCCATGGTGCAGTATGCTAAGTCTCTCAGTGAAGCCATGGAGAAATCAGCTGCACAGAGGAAGACAATGCCCCCCGACACCACACAGGTTCACTTCCTCATCCCTTCCCAAATCAACCACACCAGCTGTTTCAGACTACCTCTTTTTTTTGTTTGCTTCTTTTATCTGAGTAATATTTTGGTGCCCCATTTTGGTGTCGTAAATGTCTTTGTTTGAATGTCTTTAGTGTGTTGTCTGAGCTTAAGATACAGTATATTTCAACTCTGTTGGTGTTTTTAGGTAACACCGGCACCCCCTTCAGCCCAGCAGGTGCGCACACAGCAGGCTTCAGCCACAGCAGACCAGAGCGCTTCTATGGAACGGCTCTTCAACTCTCATGATGTTCGTGAAACCTCACACCATCTCCAAATCACACACTTAGACCTGCATATTTGTGACGACACCAATGCCAAGGACAGAGGTACCACATGCCCACACACAATACTGTTAACACCAAAGTGTGTGAGTTTGGTGGTGTTCAGCTGAAATGTGTCTTTTTTTTTCTCCTCTGCAGGAATTAATAAGAGATTAGATGGTGGCGCAATGCAGGTGTCCTTCAGTTCTATAACTGTAGACTATTATCCCTTCCACAAAGCTGGTAAAATATATTCTTCCTTTAATAACCTGTTGAACAGGAAGATGTTCAGATTATTAAAAAGAAAATGCCTTTCTTTCTCTCAGGTGAGGGTTGTTTGCATTGGATGCATTACAGCGAGGCCACGAAGTCTCGTGAGACCTGGGTCCGTTCTCTCCTGGAGGAGTTTAAGTCTAATGTGGATATGCTCAAAAATGTAGTCAGTGGCCAGTCCCAGAGCTCTCCTCAACATGGTGAGAACGTCCTGCCAATAAACACACACTTACTGTGACTGAAAAACAAAAAATGGAGTAGTTTAGTTTCATGCAACCTATCCTGTGTCTGGATCATATTTGACTCAAAAGTCAAAAGAAAGTATTTTTGAACCACAAATATTTGTTTTGCATTTTAATGAGGAGGGCAAGCATACACACAAACACACACACACACACACACACTTTCGTTACAAACCTGTACAGTAACATACAGAATTAGATGTTCAGAAAATATTTTCGGATCATAAATATATATTTTTTTTGCGTTGTGGAATCCAAAAAAATCCCCCCCCCAAAAAAATAAATCATGGTATTATTGATTTAGCATTACATTTGTATTACATTTATAGTATTGACATTAGTGGATTTATTAGTAAAAAAAACATTTTAGAGCTATACATATAAAAATACTGTTTTATGGGAATGAGAATCGCTGGGAATGGGAATAATAATGGCTATTACAATGCATAAAAGGTTCTCTACACATTATTGGTAATGAGGATTTGTGAGCTAAATGCTTATTTGCCATGAAAATAATAAAACATTTGCTAACTTTATTTAATTTATACATTTTATTTATTTGTTGTTTTTTGGGGGGGATTTTTAGTTAAATGTGATCTGGACACTGGTTACTTAAAGGAGAACTCCGGTCAATTTTAAAATTTAAGCTCATATTTTTTGTACATTTGCTGTGTGGTGTTCTGAGAATATCAGCTCAAATGGATAGTTCATCCTAATCAGATCATCAGATCATCATTTAGTTACCAATGATCGCGCGCGCGAACTCTACAATCTTCAACCGAAAACAGGAAGTAAATACAGGTATGTCAGCTGGCTGACTTAACATCATTTTTATTAATATCTTTCACATTTACTGCAGTCAGATTGACCGTGGTCACTCTTAATAACACCACTCACTTGGCTGTGCACTCGTAATGACAAATCAAGGATGTTAAGAGGCTAAAAGCAGGTTTAGAACTTGCCTCATTGAAGTCAACAGGGTGCGGATTTTAAAAAAGACGATAATACAGTGTAGGCAACACCGATTTTTGTAGTTTTTGTACAAAATGTACAAAAAAATGAGCTCAATGTTAAAATTGAACAGCTGTTCTTCATTGATACATACATGTAAATCTGGATATGCCTATCCAAACACTATTAATAAAGCTATAATTTGTGACACTTTAAGGGCTCTTCTCAAAGACTGTAGGGCACTTTCAGATGATACAGACAACAGTTATGGGCTGCATTGATGTTCAAAGTTTCCCATGTGGCCTCTGAGAGTGTAGCAGAGTCTTTGTGTAAGGGCCTTTAGCTAAAGTGTACAGTTTTTAGCTCAGTAGCGCTGTACGGCTAATGTTTATGAGCATATGGCTTTACAGTAATATAGTCCTTCAAGTGTTTTGCAGTGGTCATTAAGTGTGTCCTGAAAGCAGATAACACCTGTCCTAGTTTTAGGAGGTTTTTTTTTTTTTTTGCGTAATGGGTTCTGTGTCTCCAGTCTGTCAGTCGATTGTCTTAGAGGCGCAGGGTGAGGGGATAATGGTTAGGGAGCTGGATTCAGGCGCAGATGGCTCGTGGCCGCTCTCCCCCACGGCCAGCTGCTGCTGGTGTCTGGAGACAGGTACCTCTCTGGTGTGCGTTTGAGGTGCCACACAAACACATGGCTGTGGTTTGTGCAGATGATCCACTGTGATTGTGACTTTTTGAGCTTGTGTGTCTCCCTCAGGAAAGATCTCCACCAGCTCCAGCACTTCCTTCTCGCCTCCATCTGCACCGAGAACCCAACTCATGTCCAGCTCAATTGTGCTACGGATGGCAGATTTCAGCATCTATCAGGTTTTTGTGGATAAACACACGCATACAACACAATTTTCTGCAATCTACATACTTATTCATTAAAAAAACAAGATCACGTAGATGCACAAATATCATAAAAGTGGGCCATATGAGTTGCATGCTATAGTCAACTTATTCACTGATAATCTTCCCCTCTTAACACCAATTCTTCTCAACTCAATTCAAATTCAAATATGGTGTGCTGCCATGTGGGAATCAATACTGTCATAATTGACATCAAATATGGCTTGAATGCTTAAAATGTGAGACCTTTTAAAGGGATACTCCACTTTTTTTTGGAAATAGGCTCATTTTACAAAAAGTTGAGTTTTACCGTTTTTGAATGCATTCAGCCGATTTTCTGATATTTAGAAGAATATCAGTAACCAGACGGTTTCTGGTCTCATTGACTTCCATAGTATATTTCTTTTCCTACTATGGAAGTCAATGAGACCAGAAACCGTCTGGTTACTGATATTCTTCTAAATATCAGAAAATCGGCCGAATGCATTCGAAAACGGTAAAACTCAACTGTTTAACTCTGGGGGACTTGATAAAATGAGCCTATTTCCAAAAAAAAGTAGTATTCCCTTTTAAAAGTAGTTTTTCTGTTGTGTTGAAGGTGTCTACAGCAGACCAGCCACGCTCCAGTCCTCAAAGCATGATATCCTGCAATAAGAAAACCCTTTATCTCCCTCAAGAGATGCCGGCCATCCATGCCGAATTCACAGAGTACTACTTCCCGGATGGCAAAGACTATCCCAGTAAGACAGAAGTGACTTTTGTCCATCATTAACACTGACAAGACCAGAATATTCATTCTTTGAATTTGACATGTACAAACTCTCTCCCTTCAGTCCCTTGTCCCAACCTGTATGTGCAGTTGAACGCGCTACAGCTGGTGCTTGACCCGCGCAGTCTGGTTTGGCTCAATCTGTTTGCACTGGACCTTCGTCAGAGCTTAGAACAATTCATGGAGCTGTACAAACTCAATGACTCGCAGAAACCTGACGAACATGTCGATATCAGAGTGGACGGCCTAATGCTGAAGGTAGAAATTAATATACGTTTGAATACTTCCAGTGAAATGTTGTTATCAGAAAATTACAGGTTGGTGAGTTTGACCAGTGGTTCTACAGGCCCTAATTTGAGGAGCCACAAATTTGTCTTGTACCATCTTTTTTGCATTTTAATATATAACTCTGTGTTTTAATGTTTGTAGCTGGTGATTCCTGCAGACCAGGAGAAGGCTCAGCCTGGCCAGCCTCGCTCTGTGTCGGTGCAGACCTCTGAGATGGTGGCTACTAACACACGGCACTCTACCGGATGCACACGATCCAGCCTGGAAGCCCTTTTGCAGGCCTTCCAGGAGCAACCCTTCTTTACGTCCCTCTCTTCCTCCTTTCCTCATGCCCAAAACTCCTCCTCTGTGCTCCATCCGGTCTTCCAGCGGCATGCTCATGAGCAGGACACACGCGTTCATGATGTGTACCGGGGCCTCGCTCCACCATCTCTCTCCACCAAGGCCCTCAAAACACCAGCAGCCACTGACTTGTGGGCTCTGCACTTCTCTCAGTTCTGGGTGGACTACGAGGGCTCACGCAGTGGGCGAGGTCGTCCGACACCTTGCGTGGACTCTTTCCCTCTGACTCTTTGGGTGTGCCACCCTTCCCGATATGCACAGCACAACGAGAGGCTCAGAGCGGGCGCAGTGTCGGGACTGTTGCCTCGCAGCGAGTCAGCAGAGATTGCCAATCGTCTGCAGAGGAAGAAACTTCTGAAGGAGTACTACGCCACTGATGCGTGTCCAAGCAACATGCCGAGCAATGGTCTCCACAAACCACAATCTCTAGACGGCCTATTCAGTGACTCCTCTTCGTCTCTTTCCCTTGATTCCTCGTCCAGTGAAGTAGACGTGCAGGTGCTAGTGCACGTTCAGAAGCACCTGAGTGCTCAGGTGAGCCATGGGCAGTATATGTTCCTGCTCAGACTTCAGCATACTGTGAAATCTCTGCAGCGCACTTTACAGCAAGATCTGGAGCAGTACGGCTCTAAGCTCCAGGGTCCCACACAACCCTTCAGCGCTTGCGTGGGCGTGCTCATGAAAAGTGCAGAAGTTGCACTACTTTTAAAGCCTATTCCCCAACCGGATTTAAGCACCAGCCCCCTGGACTCTGATGTCTCCCCCTCAGAAAGCAGGACGACTCTTGAAGCCGGGAGTGAGGTGGGCGAGGGACACGAGATACCCTCAGCTGAAGGAGAGTGTACTCCAAATGTAGATCAGCTCCTTTTCGCTGGTACACATGGCCTCAACGTATCTCCTCTTCTTCCTTCCTCATCCCCATCTCCTGCTCTGAGAAAGGCGTCTATGGATGAGAGGAGTAGCGTGGCATCTGGAGGGAGGGAGAAGGAATTGAGAGAAGGATCTCCTGATGTAGAGGGCAGCAGAGCTGAAATCAAAGGGCAACAGAGTGAAACGTCACATGGTGGAAATGCGGTAATAGATCCCGTCTCCGAAACTTCTTCCAGGGAGTGGAACGACAAGAGTCATGGAGGCAGGCTGCCTCAGTCCATATCCAGGTATTGCTTTGTGTGTATATTTAGAACAAAACTACCCTAACTTTCCCGCTTGTTTTTTTTTTTGAAAATTGATAATGGAAGTAGAGCTGCATAAAAAACTACTGTCAGGATTTACTGAAGACACATGGACAGGCGTGGACAGAGTTGTTTTTGCGGCTGACTTTATTCCGTATGCATTTGTTGGAGTTTCCCTTTCAGACGTGGGAGGAGAGTATTTAAAGGAGTTCACTTTAAAAAAAAAACCTTTGCTGATATTTTCATCCAAGATGTCCATGTCATTCTTTCTTCTGTCGAAAAGAAATTAAGGTTTTTGATGAAAACATTCCAGGATTTTTCTCCATATAATGGACTTCACTGGTAACCAAACGGTTCAAGGTCCAAAACAGTTTCAGTGACTCTCCTGTTCGAACTTGTTTATCAAAATGAACGAATCTCTTTTCGTGTTATTTGGTTCATTCAACAAACGAAATGAACGAATTGACTCAGAAAAAGATTCGTTCATTTTGATGAACAAGTTCGAACAGGAGAGTCATGAACGTGCGTCACAGAACAGAGCAAGGCGAGCATTTGAGCTTATAAAACTTAAACTTTGTTATTTTTTTTTAAATGAGTGATCGTTTCGCTTGATAAGACCCTTATTCATCGTCTGGAATCGTTTAAAGCCCTTTGAACAGTTTGTAGTTTGCACTGAAACTGTCTTTTGGACCTTGAACCGTTTGGTTCCCAGTAAAGTGCATTATATGGAGAAAAATGCTGGAATGTTTTCATCAAAAACCTTAATTTCTTTTCGACTGAAGAAAGAAAGACATGGACATCTTGGATGACATGGGTTTTTTTTTAAAGTGAACTCCTCCTTTAAATGAATCATGCAAGGTGACTTACTAAGGTTTGCGCTTGTCAATTTACTGGTATTTGTGCCATTATTTAACGCCCCCCAAAAAAGCATATCTTAAACCAGACGCTAGTTTGCGCTGCTCTTGGTAGATTGCGTTGGTCATTAGGGGAAATGATCCGGCTGCGTCTGTATTCTTTAATTTACACGTCGTCAGTAGATTACGCGCAGAACTTTCCACTTCCCTCACCCTTTTTTTGGTTTTGTTAACACGCTAGTTTGCCCTGTTTAGTAAATCTGGCCCGTAGATTTTTACTATTAAGGTCCAGTGCTGAAAAGTAAAGAAATATTTTACTTCATTTCTGTACTTAAGTACGTTTTTCAAGTATCTGTACTTAATCAGAATATTTTTATTTTGGGAAACTTTTACTTCACTGCATTCCAAAGCATAATATCATACTTTTTACTCCACTGCATTTCATAAAAACATGGTGTTTTTCGTTATGTTGAACTGAAGAAATCATTACCCACTCTGAGACGTTAGAGCGGTGTCCAATTCGGGAACAAGCTGATTCTTTTCAATGAACCTGTTAAATCGTACTGATTGATTAATTCATTCATAAATTGGACTGATCCGATTGTATCTGTTCCCACTAATTCAAATGATCTGGTCAGAGCGAGTTATAAAATGCGTTTTCTTATTTAATTGGAGATCAATACATATTAAGTGTCTGCATAATAATGGCTATTGACTAGTGCTGGCTACTTCGATGCAATGATGTCAGACTGAGCTATAACCTATTTAATATGTGTCTAGTACATTATACCTCAATTCTACCCTTGTACTTTTACTCAAGTACTTGATATGTGTGCTTCGTCCACCACTGGATTTTCCAGGTGTGTTTGATCAGGGTTGGAACTAAACTCAGCAGGAAAGTGGCCTTCATATTAGATCAAATGGGACAGGGCCCATACTGTAACTGTACAATATATGTGCCTGACAGGCTAATTCGTTTTTAAGGTCTATGAAGTTAAGATTAGAGATATGTTTAATATCATCAGCCTTTAAAACTCACCTTTTCAGTATTCAGCAATATAATTGAATCTGGTCTTCATTACAGTATTGTGAGTTTTGTAGCTTTGTTTTATAACTCAATGTTGAAGTGTTTGCAAAAATATTATATATGAATTTTATAAGAGTATGTGTGTGTATTTGGGAGTAAAACCCTATACACAACTGCTTCCTTGCTCTGAAAGTGATCTCTGGATGTGTGTGTGTTTGTGTAATCTCTCTTCTGAAGGAAAGGCAGTTTATCAGTGGTCTCTGACCTTTTAACCTCCACGCACAGCAGGTCTACCTCCTTATATTCCATGTCCAACATGTAAGACACCCTCTGTAGGACTCTGTGCCCATCGGTGTGCGTGTGAATGTTAGTGGACAAAACCGTGGTATTGGTATTGTGATTGTGGTCATTTCACACTAGCTTGTCCCTTGTAGTGTTGTGCGTAAAACCGTGGACGTGTTCAGAGTTTGCCGACTGGTGTTTTGATTTTGCCCCCAAAAAAATGTGTACATGCTATCAATAATTATTTATTTTTTTATCATTCTTGGTGTTCTTTATATTAGCACTGACATGTGCTCATTGTATTCACTTTTTCCTCCTTTTATTATTATTATTTTTTTTTGGCATGTACTCTGCAGTGGTCGTTTGATGCAGGGCAAATCACAGTCGAGTTTCGCCGTGTCCTTTAAGAACATGAAGAAAAGTCCTTCGCTGCAGTCTCTGGATGATCTCTCCATAGACAGCTACTCACTGGAGGACTGTGATAGCTACAGCCTGCTGGAGAGAGGTACATGCACTCCAGAACACCATGTTTTTCTGATGTGTATTCTCTTACACCAGAGCTATATTACGTTAGTGACCACAAGAGGGCTGTATTGTAACATCTATAGGTTTGGGCTATTTTTGTTCCATTGATAGAGCAATATTGACTGCGTTTCTTATTCATAACCACAAATTCATTCAGATTTAGCGCAAGCTAAACATCAGGTCCAATCGTGATTTATTTTTATACGCAGTTACACTCTCTCGCTCTAATCAAATTATATGCATATCTGTGTTTTGTTATAGATGATGTATCGATCTCTGGCTTTAAGGACGCTCTAAGTGAACAGATTTCCACAGATGGGGCTAATGTGAGTCTCGCTCAGGAGGCAGATGAGGCCCAGTCACCTGACGCCATCAGCGCAGCCTCACAGAGCATAGACGAACCCACAAAAGACCTTGTAATTTCCGCTCTCCTTTCATTCCTTTTTTTCCCCAAGTTAACTTTGTTATTCTGAATGAAAATATTGAGATTGTAAGTACATTATCTATGCATCTGCAGTGTAAGTAATGTGTAGCCATGGATATAATACCTCAATTGCATGCGTTTGCAGGTGTCGGTGCTGATTTTGAAGGTTCACTCGGTCTGCTGTTCTCTGGATCTGAAGGGAGACGACACCGCAGTAGCTCTGGAGGTCGGGCGGATCCGACCCAATCAGCTCGGCAACGTCAGTTTGCGGCAGTATCTTAGCAACCGCAGCCTGGGTAAGACCGCTTGACACCTGTGTTTGTGTGTGCACGTGTGTCAATGTCACACCTGATAAACCCTTGCTGTTTGCGTTTTTTCAGGTTTAGTGTCTTCAGCATCAGCCACTCAGAGTGGTGAAGGTACTTTAAGTGTGTATGTTCATGTGTTTACATAGTGTGTGTTTGTGCGCACGACACGTTTGTGAGTGTAGATGCTGTCGGTGAGTTTGCACGAGTTGTGTGTGTGTTGTGTGACCACTCTCCCAGCACTTTTTGTGTTTGGTTTGAACACATACACTACAGTTTGGGGTCAGTTAGATTTTTTTTTTTTTATGTCTTTGACAGAAGTCTATAACCACCAAGGCTGCATTTACTTGATTTATTTATTTTTTAAACTATTTAATTAAAAACAACTTTTAATGTATTTTTAAAATGTAATTTATTCCTGATGCTAAGTTGAATTTTCATTATCTATCTAGTCTTCAGTGTCACATGATCCTTCAGAAATCAGTCTGATATGCTGATTTGCTGCTCAAGAAACATTTATTATTATTATTATCAATATTGAAAACAGTTGTGCTGCTTAATATTTTCATAGAAGACGTGATGTTTTTTTTCATAGTATAAAAAGACATTTTTTAATCTAAAAATAGAAATCTTTTTTTTAACTTTACAAATATCTATACTTTCACTTTTGATCAATTTAATGCATCCTTGCTGAATAAAACTATTAATTTCTTAAACAATAAAAATAAACACAAAAACTGACCCCAAATGTCAACATAGAAAGATGTTAATAAGATAAGTGTCTGTCATAGAAACTTTCATAGTCATCACAAAAATGACCCCTAATGAGTATTTATAATAATGTAAATAATATCAGTATATTTGATTTAAAATGCAGTAATTTTCTTTACTGTATTGTTGTGAGTGCTGGAATTTTCTTATAGTGGTGGTGCTAAATTTAAGCTTCTTTAATCTTAATATTTAATATTTAGCTTTAGTGCTTCTAGTAGCAGTGGCTAAAAACTGAAAAGCTTTGAGTGTGAGGCATGGGCTATATTCTGCCGTCCAGTATATATTTATGTAATTGAATTATATAAACGTGTGATTAGTCGACTAATGGCTTGAATGAACCACTACTATTCGGCAAAAAAACAAAAAAAACAATCTCAAGTCAGAGGCAGCCCTAGTTTTTAGTTGTGTAACGGTGTATGGTAAACATCACCTCAGTCCGTGAACGAGTTCTCTTCATTTAAATAAGAGCCTTTTTTTTCAGCAGTATAGTTTGTGTGATGTGTGAATTGCATTTTTTTTTTCGCCCACTGGTCCCAGCTCTCCTCTTTCATCCTTAGCTGCTCTGGTTTTGTGCTTGCGTTTCTCTGCTGTCACAGACCATTGGGTTCTGCAGAACCAGAATTGCTGCTTCAGGAGATTTTGTACACACAAACACACACATGCTCACTCTCGTCTTATCTAGGCTGCTTCAGAGCACTGCCTCTTTCCTCTCCAAGCATTAATCTGTAGGATTTTCCATGCTCAGTTTCTCTTGACTGTTTCTGCTAGCAGTCTGTTTCCCTGTATCTTTCTCTCACCTGCTCCCTATTTTCAGTTATTCTCACTCATTCACTTTCCTCTTGCAGAATTCTTGCTGTTCTTCTGTATCTGCACTTGGGAGGGAAAGTGCTGCGTTTGCTTGTTTTATTCACAACTGTGTTGAAAGATTCATTAAAATGTTCAGCTAGGAATGACAGGAATCATCACTTCTATCTCTTGTAATGATGGTCTTTCCAACTCCACTATTTCCAGAGGACGTTGAAGAGATGAACGTTTGATATGACAAGGCAATTCTCTTTTTGTTCTAGAGCAAAAAAAAAATCAAACTTATTTACATGCACAAAAGCCCCTTCTCCCCCCGTTTAAGAATACTTAACTTAAATACACAATATGACATCATTTGAATTGTTTCATTATGAATAAGTCATCATTTAAGTTATATTATAATTAATCAAATTATTAAAACAAATATAAGAAAAATATACAATATACATATTCATAGGTTGAAATTCCTGATTGTTTAATTAGTCAAATTCCTTATGCAGAAAAATATAAGTATTTTTGCCATTTTGAGGCTTACAAAGGGACACAGTACTAAGTTTTTGTACATGTACCATAGTGTTCCAACACTATCTCACGCACAATTCGTACGAATTCGACGAATAATTAAAAAGTGTCTAATTCGTACGACCTCACTCGTACGAATTTGTACGATTTGTCTAAACCCACGTGATGGTTAGGTTTAGGGGCGGGGTAAGGGGTAGGTCATTCGTACGAATTCATACGAATTGGCCAATTCGTAAAATATGTATGATTTAGCAAAATGGTACTAATTCGTACGAGTGAGGTCGTATGAATTGTTACGAATTAGCCACTTTTTAATCATTCGTCGAATTCGTACGACTTGGTCGTGAGATCGGGTTGAGTGTTCCTTGAAGTACTTTGGCGTTCCTATATAAATTTGCCACATTTACCAATGTACTATGTTAGCTCCATCCAGCTTCAATCATCATACCACTGTACCACCAGAGTACTATTTTTGTACGGGACCTTTTCCGGTCTCCCCATTTCTTATCACTGGCATATCTTATTTAACACTTTTGCTGAATAAGCATCTGTGCTTTAGGGATAGAGAATTTTTTTCTCTATTCTGGGCAGAGGAGGTGAGGATACTAATGCAGTCTTAGTTTCAGAGCTGACGGTTCTCGAAAGAATTCAATATAGATCAGACAGAGAAGTATATTAGAAACCGTGGACTCCTCTACTGTACCATTAGAGCCTCTGGGACCTCTGAACTTCACAGCTCCGATATCATTTGATGTCTCCTTTCTGCCCTCTGCTGTAGGAAATTTCCATGAATTTCAATGAGATTTTTATTCATTACCACAAGCATTGTTGCGCTGACATTTTGGATTCAATGCATAATTTAAAAGCAGCGTTTCAATGTTTTGGATTTGTCTATTTTTAGACTGGTGGCTGTCTCCCGTGCCCTGCTTTTTGTGCAGCGGGCCCTTGACTTCCCCTCATTAGTGATCCCTTGGTTTCCTGCATGACCATGTACACATTCATGTGTTCTTGTAGTTCCAAGGCATATTGCATTGCATGGAGAAACATGGAGTAGATGGTGTTTTGGTCATGTGGATTGCTTGCATTTTTTGTTATGGCATCTATGCTTAAGTATTAAGGGGCATTGACACTGACAGAGACCTGGAATCGTTCATTTTCATTGAGAGCAACAGGAGAAAAGTTTAACCTTATGCAAATGTGAAGTGACACACGTCATTATATCCAGCAGCAGGAACACTTACTATCGACCTTCAATTTGCACCTTGTAGGCTTGTACCTTCAAGTTAGGCTTTCATAATGACTTGAAATGTTTGATTCTGATTGGTTAGCCACAACATTTCACGGTCTGTTATTTCCTGACAATGACCATCGTCAATAGCAATGCTATACTATATAAAAGTCTGCCCATCTATGTAAATGGAAGCCAGCGCTTCTTTTGTGTGTCGTGTGCAGAATAGCTCTCGCAATCCTGTGTCTCAAACAGTTATTGATTGTATTAAAAAATGTATAAATAATACTGTATTATCACAAATTATATAGATTATTGGTGTACAATACGATGCGTACCATCAATATCATAGATCAGTTTTCCATCATCCACCCATCTCTTGTGTGAGCTATAATTCTGAGTTTCTCACTTGCAAATATGACTCTTCTCTGTCATTCGTATGCTCAAGCCCCGTTCACACCGCCCGCAACTGTCGATGTGTGTCGCTAGGCTCTGTACTGTGAAGTCGCTTGTGGGCGTTTGTAGTGCTGTCGCTCTAATGTTATTGGTAGACTGCACGTATGGCCATATCTATACCATAATAGCATCATAAGTGATATATACAACTAACTAATTTCAATTTGACTTGAAATAAATGACTTTTGAGGTTAAAAAGAAATCGTATGCTGTTGGGAGAGTGTTTTTGTATTACCACAGCAGTGTTCAGTGGAAATCATTTACTAGATTAACGATCGATCAATCCAGGGCCGGCCCGAGGCATAAGCGAACTAAGCGGCTGCTTGGGGCCCCCTGGCCACCAGGGGGCCCCCTAATCGAGGTTATTTTTTATTTTTATTTTTTTAGATGACTTAAACAAGTGACATAAATCAATGAATGAATGAATATGACTGAATGAATAGTTCAAGACAACAAAATTCTGATTTAATGATCAATATACCTGCCTACAAGTTACAACTGCTGCTCTGTCTGCCAGCGTTTAAGTCATACGCATAATCATCTAGACACCTCGCGCGTGCATAGACGGTATCGGTTTAAGTTGGAGAAAATATCCCGCAGGAGAACTTATCCTTCAAGGTGTAAGGGTAGCAGTTTGAATAAATAATAAACATAGCAGTTTGAACTCTTCTCCACTTTATTATAGCACACATCAGATCTCCAAACACCCGCGACACTCCAGTAGCCTAGCAAGTGCGCACGACCCATCTACGGCAAGCCCCGAGGGGAAAAATACATTGCATACACACATACAACGAGCGCCAGAACATCATAACCGGTATTATAGTAACAGACTGTGTTGATTATGTCATGTACTATATAACAAAGTCTGTTACAATAATAATAATAACAATAATAAAGATTTTGAGGATAGTTACTCTGTTTTGAGACAGTTGAGAAATAGGCTAGTAATATTTTTAGTTTTCAACAATAGCCTCCTGAGACCCAGAAAGTTTTTTTTTTTTATTTAGTTTTTTTTTCATATCATCACATTGTTTAGAGCATAATAAACAAATGGTAAAAAAAACCTTTTTGAAAAATTATATTTTATTCATATGTAATACTTTGTCCTCTGTAGTGGACACCAGGACTCAGTTCTTAAAATTAAATGACATACAATGTGTAGGCAAAAACAATGGGATTTTTTTTCCCAATCACCAATACATTTTGGGGTTTCAGGATTTTTTTTAACTAAAATTTGTATAAAGATGATTCTCAACTATGTTATGAAAGATATAATGGAATTAATTGATACACCAATTTACTTTATGCAATATATGGGTAAAATTGGCATAAATTAATATTCCCATTCAATGCAAAGTATCTATACACTGTATCTAATTTGCACATTAATGTGTTCTTGGAGCAACATTTAATGAAAAAAGAAGTGTAAGCATTGGAGTAATAATAAGCAACATTTTAATAATAATAATATCTAATATGTCATAAGAATATTGACGTATAATTTATTTACATATTCACTTGTTATGTCTCCCAGAATGCCTGATAAACATGATTTATGTCCTGATGTTCTCTACAGTGGACATGAATGAAATCAATGCCCTGTAACAGAAAGTCATTTTTTTTTATTTGAAACCCCATAACATTTTCATGAGATGTTGGTTGATGAAATACAATTTGAAAGGTAGTTAAATTTAAATTATAATTACAATATATTACCATATTTCAATAAGAGTGCTACATTTGATCACTAAATTAATGTTAGACATTTTTAAAGACCAAGGAGAAGTTGTTTTCATGGTGAAACCTCCAAACATTTGGTATCTCTGTATTGCCCTGAATGTGCTCTTTACAGGACATCCAGAAAAAAAAAATGTGACATGCATGATGTCAGAGAAATACACTAAAATATAATGTCCACTACAGTGGACAAAAGTCTATTCCTGGGTCCCAGGAGGATAGGCCAAAGTATCATTGCTCTTACGTTTAATTTCTCAGTTTTGTCATAATTTTAGCAAATAATTTATTTTATATGTTTTGAGACAGTTTTAAGACTGTTTTAAAACTTTTTTATTTAAGTAGGCATCTATTTTTTTATTAATACATAACCTCAGTGTATTCATTTATAATGTATCATTTTTGCGTGACATTTATGTCAATAATCGTCAAACACAGGTGACTCCGCATCGTGGGAGGGGCCCCCAAATCAAATTCTGCTTAGGGCCCCCAAAAGGCTCGGGCCGGCGCTGGATCAATCAACAAATTAAACTCACTCGTAATGTCACAAATTATTAAAATGTCATTCGAATTTGACAAATAATTAATTTTCCTGTCCCTAATAGTCAACGTAATGCAGGGGAAATTGTAAAATGAACTGCAGCAGTGCTAAACGTACATCATAAAATTAAAAACACTCGAACTATAACGTTAAATGTATGAATTAAACTCACTGAGACTGTCGACAGTTTCTTTTCCATGCATCATTTTATTATCCATCTATGTGATTAACGTTACAGTCAAAGCATATAAAACAATGAGATCATCCTCGAACACTTCTGTGACACAGTGATGCGTGAAGTCCACTGAAAGTCTTCTTTCCTATTGGTCGCGAAAATCATTTGCATAAAGTTGAAATTTCTCAACTCTTGTCGCTTGACACACGCCCACATTCTGTCGCCAACGGTCACTGTCGCTCATGTCGCCGGAAGCCGCCAGCGCTCCATTGAAATTAATGGGATCATGTCGCTTCTGTGTGTCGCTGGCGGTGTGAACGGGGCTTCAGAATTCGCAATTGCGAAAAAACTCGCTTTGTCAGTGTGAACGAAGTATTTCATGGCTCAACTGAAAACCTTTAAACCAACAAAACATTTTTGACTCCACAATCTGTCAAAGATGACAACAGGACATTACTTAATTTCAAATTTTATTTGTTTCTCGCAGGCTCTGGGTCAGGGTCTGACCCCAGCATGGTGTTATTAAATCCAGAGGTGCAAGTAAGGCTGGAAAGTGGGCCGGGGGCTGCGGTTCACTCTCCTCTCGCAGAACAGAACGGCTTCCTTCAGTGTCGCCTACAGGCCTTCAGTGCCGACTTCCTCATGACATCACTGCGAAACCTCGCCCTCTTCCTGGGGGATGACTCCGCCTCCCAGGTCCTCCCCATGGAGATCACCATCAAAGACACACACGTGAACCTCAAGGTACATTTAGACATTGAACATTAGGGCTGTCAAGATATCATATTTCATGACACAATTATCATCGCCAAAAGAATGAACAATATCAGTATTATTGCAACGTCTATAGAAATTAACATAATTGTATCAGTCAAAGTCAACTTTCACTTTCTTTATTTAGTGTTTTCTCTTTTTTTTGTCTTTGAAACGTACACAAATATGTAGGTCTCGACATGTTAGTGGTAATATTATTATCAATACTGATAACTTATGACCCCTACTAGACATACTTGCCTACATTGTGTGATTGTACACAGCCCATCTGTTACAAAACCTAGTCAGCTACAATCCCAGAATGCATTGCGTCTAACTTCAATGAAAAAAAAATTTAGTAGACAGCAAGACAGAAACAGCATTTATGTACTAATATATGTGTTTAAATCAGGATGACGGTCCCCGTGACAAAGCGTCAGAGCCCGAAGCCACGCCCATCGCCGTGCATATTCATAATCTGCTTATCCATCGTCAGGATGACGGCTCATTCAGCATTGGAGGAGGTTATTCATGTTCCTTAATTCTTGTTTATCTCTACCTGCTCCCTTTTTCACTCCTAAACCATAATAGTTCTAGCATTTTCCCCTTATTGAAATCCCTCTGGCACATGCATGCAACTCTCTCTTTTCCTTTAAAGTTTGCCTCCATTTTGAACTATTTGAAAATAGGATTAAAGCTCAGGAATGCACGCTCTAAATGCATCCCTCCCCTGTCTCCCCTCGGACAGCTGAGCGTGCTGCGGACCCAAAGCTTCAGAAGGCGGGGCATGTGAATGACAGCAGGCTCAGTTCTGTCCCTGAAGTTCCTGTGGGTGTGGCCAGTGAGCCGAAAGCCACTCAGACTGCACCTCTGTCACGCACAAGCCCCACCCCCTCAAGTAGAGAACAGGTACAATTTGCGATATGTAAATTTTGCATGATGTAATGCATCACAGGGTACGTCCACATAATAAAGCTGGACTTGTAAAATTGCAGCTTTATGTGATCGTTTTATTTTGCGCCTTATATACAAATGTATGTCTGTAAGCCTTTTTACCATGTCTTGGTTTGCCTGTTTTAATCCTCTAAAGCCTGACATATGTAATCATTCCCAGGAAAATTTATTTTTTTAAAGGCACATTATGTAATTTTTTGCCGCTAGAGATCGCTTATTTAAAACAAAGGGGTAGCTTGATGACGCCTTGATTTCACGGAATCATGGGAGTTGTTGTCTTCACCTCTACAGCCGGTGGAGAATACAACGGTACTCATAGATATCATAGTCATGGATGTAGTCACCGGTAATGTATTAAAGTTCCGAAAGCCGTTGGAGCGAAACGAGGCCACTGGAGCGATTGCTAATGAGAGACAAACGCGACGTACGGCTCGAGAGCAGTGGAGCTTTTATTATGCCTAAGGCCCCGTCCACACTACTGCGTTTTCGTTTAAAAAAAGAGAATTAAAACAAATACGATCTCCGTCAGCCTCTGCGTTTGCGTTTCTGAAGTCCTCCGTTTTGTGTCGTCTACACTAAAACGCCCTCCGGAGATTCAAAATGAAAAACGGAGCTGCAGCGTTTCTTAACTTCTCCGTTTTAGGTCTTCGTTTTTCCCTATTTAGTCTGGACGGGAGGTGCAAACGTAGCAAAAGGTCTCCGTTTTTAAACGAAAACGCAGTTAAATCGACAGGCCGATATTATCAGCCGATATTAGGCATTTTCCAAACTATCGGTATCGCCAGTTATAATGGCCGATAAATGAATATTTCAAAAATAATATAAAAACGGACGAAACGCACTTCAATCATGTCATGAGTGTTGGAGTTGTATAGTTTGTCCACCAGAGGGCACTCTACACTATCCCTGTTGGCAAAACTCTTTGAGTTGGTCACGAGACATACATTGCTTGAATAACAATTAAAAGAACATCCCCATCAGTTCTTTTAACTCAAATAAGCATGACAAAATTTGTGACTATCATGTCCAGTTTTGCTGCTGTTAAATAAGCCGAGAGTGAAACTGAATTAGCTAGTAATAGTTACGTTACGTTGTTACAGTGTAGTTGACTGACTGTCCTTTTAACTTTTGACAATGCGACTGTAGTATTTCTTTAATAGCGCGTGACAGTTATAGCAATGAGACGGACCATCTCTCTTTGGCCTGTTATATTGAAAATGTATGTTTTAATTGTTTGCTAAATTATGGCTCATCATAGACTCGCTAACCACAAAGCTAGCTAATGCCACTATCATCAGTCTGTTCTGTTGTGACAATAAAAGAAACAAGTTTCTTTTTAAAATGTATTATCATATTATTTTAGTTAAAACTCATAAATAACTACAAATAACTAATGTTAGGGAAATCTGTTAATGTTTTGTTGCGCGTTTCTGAAATAATTAAAAAATATTTACTGTATATATCGGCCGATAATAAAAAAAAATATTTGTATCGATATCGGCCTTCAAAATCCTTTATCGGTCGGGCTCACATCATATTAGATACATTTGAGTGTGATGAAAGTAGTTATAATGCTACTCTGTGATTGGCGGCTACTATATGAGACACTGCGGTGAGCTTGATGGATATTAGTTATGGTAAAAATGGTACTCGCGGTTAATAAAGAACTCGATTTAAACAGTGTTGAGCTTGGTTTTCTGTCGATAAATGTATCCAAACAGTTGCTCACCTGTTTAATAAAACACATAAAACACATGTTTCCATGGTTTGGTTTCTACAAAATAAACCGGAAATCGAGGGTAACGCGGGTATGATGTCAATAATAGGCCTGGTTAAAACTGCTTATTTCTCTGGATTTAAACATTCTTAGAAACATTTGGGATAACGTAAACGTAACATACACGAATCAACAAAATAAATAAAATTGTTCTGGTGGTTTTTTTGATATTTTAATCCAAAAATCTTACATAGTGTGCCTTTAAATGAAACTCTATTGAACCTTTTGAGCAAAATATACAATTTAGTGCAGTTTATGACCAAAAAGTAAGATGAAATTTTGATAGTTTGTAATGTGAGTCAGTGAGATGTTTATAACAGTGTAACAAACAGACAACTCGCATAAAATGCATATAAATCTTAGTCACTTTATTTTTTCCAATAATATCTTATTAAGATGATATTTAAATGCTTTGTTTCATGATCAAAGCGCTGTAGTTTTTAATATGGGTGCAAAACATGTAATGCAAGGGAATTAGAATGATTGAGAGATATACATACATACAAATAAATGTTTATCATATTTGATGCAACATTTTAACATGAACATATTTAAAAACCCTGATTAATATTTATAAATCAACCTCAGATAAAAAATTAAACGATAAACAGATGACCGCTTTAAAATTAATAGCAATTATCTTTCGAGCAAAGCATCCAGGCTGATGAACAATAAACACTGTTGTGTGCCAAGCTAATGATCTTTTCCATCCATACAGCTGCTCGTGGAGGAGAATGAATGTTTGAAACTGGAGCTGTCCAAAGCCAAGATGGCGCTAGCGGAAGCCCAGATGGAGAAAGACTCTCTCCAGCATCAAATGAAGAGTCTCAAACTCACCAGCGGGGGCAGCAACAGCTAGTGGCAGTGCATGTGTGTGTGTGCATACAGGACAGACACTCGCCACAGGGGGGCAGCAGAGTGCTTGGAGGGGCCCGGCGCCTTCAGATAAAAAATTCTCGATTGGAGAATGGTATGTGTGGCGTGAGCTCTCACTTCACTTGGGAATCAGACTTTATAATCAGTGGCATCTGCTCTTAAAGAACAGTGTTCTTTACTATAGTGTACACACAAACTTCAGAATCAGAAAAAGTCAAGTAAAAAAAAAAACACACTTCAGAAATTTCGCATTCTCTTGATGTTTTGTGGCTCTCTTCCTGTTTATTATTTCTTTGTGTCGGCGAGGTCTGCAGATCATCATGGGAAAGTAAAGAGGTGATAAATGCACATTCTTTATCACTTTCTCTCTCTCTCTCTTTAACCAATCAAACACAGTGTTGGAGCACATTCCACCCTTGACCTTTAACCCCAGAACAGTCTGACACACTGTCAGGGTGTGTGATGTTGAATGTCATATCTTTGGAGGAATGTCTTAAAAAGTTAATTTGCACTGTGTCCGAACTCTTTTTGTTTAACAAGAACTAAACAAATATATATATTTAGCAACTAATAAATTTGTGTTTATGTATAGTAATTGTGAAATACAAGAATGTTTTTTTTTTTTGTTAATGCGATTCAATTGGTGTAGGCACAATTTTGTTTTGTTTTTATGCCAGTGTCTCAAAAACGGGAAAATGTTTTGGGGATTATTTATGTTCACGAACACACTACACTGCTCCAGGATTTGCATTGCACAACTTAATTTGTCTTACTACAAGAACAGATGTGTTGAGGTTTGCAGATATCAGTTCAGTATTTGTAACTAAATGCAGTGTCATTCTATGTTTGTCTTTTTAGATGAACATTTGGACTGCAACAGTCATAATAGGAGATTAATGATTAATTTACAGGTGTTTAATTTACTCTCAACTGAATGTTTAGCCTTTGCTTTGTCACATTGTTGATCTGATTACCAGCATTTCTGCACAAAGAAAAAACAAAACAGAGCTGGATGTTGGAGAACGGCTCAACAGATGCATTTGTGAGAATGTCGGTTGGCTTTTCTTACGTACGCTTTAAAAGAGAAGAGCCTATCTAGTTATATTGGGATATAATGAATGCAAAAAGGTCCTTTGCTCTCTCTCCAGCCCTTGTTTTCCCTCTCGACAGCGGCCTCTACAAGTGCCTGTGACTGCACACCTTCTCCAGAGGTTCTGCTCGATTTCTTGTTCTCTAAATGAATGTTTTAACGCTCTTCACAACACAAGCTCCCATCCTGAGAACATTTTTTCAGATGTTTGGACTTGAACATTGAGAGCTGGATGACAAACACCTGATTGTAGAAAACCAAAACTTTTCTTTGGTAGTACTAGGCCTCGCCCCTATAACACTAGCCCCGCCTCAATATGTATCAGACACGCCTCTTAGAGATGCACAAATGATGAACAATGATGCTCACTTATGAAATTATGATTTCTTGTTACTGTCAGAAGCTGCTGAAGTACTGAGACATCTGAAAATAAAGCTTAAAACATTTTATTCATGGAACTCTGCTCTTTTGTTGTGACAATAAATTATGTTCCATATTTCATATGAATCAATCACATGCTTACCTACTTAGAAACTTGTAAAAAAAAAATATTTTACCTCCTCATTTTATACATTTGTTTTCTTTTTATTAAAATATCATAACTTGATCTCAACTTCAAAATGAAAAAAAAAAATTCTGAACAAACAACTTGGTCTCACATGGAAAATGGCGGCGAATTTGTATGATGTGAGCTGTACAAAAAACGTATGATTATTAGAAATAAATATATAAATATAAAGGTCCACCCGTCATGTGCGATGACGAACGCATGAGATCGTACGCATTCATACGAATTGGCCACCAATTCACCAAAATGAAAAACAGTGACGAATTTCAATGAGATTGTATTGAAAGAAAAGATCTGTCGCTACTTCTGTAACATCACAACCTTAAACCATGTTGCTTTGTGTGATGTTTTCCTTGCCTTTCGCATTTTAACTGGCATCCACTAACTGTGTCATCCACTGTGTATCATGCTTTTACTTCCACAATGGTTTGACTTCTACGTCGACTTCTGACTTTTTGGACGATGAATCACTTTTGCTAGGTGCTACTTAAAAGGTCACCTTTCCCCTGGGTTTCCAAAAAAAGGTCTTTCCGTCCGTGTAATCTCAGTTTGGTTTGGCTTCACCTTCATACAACCTCAATCTCATGTGGTATTCTCATGAATTGCAAAGCCAGGCCTATAAGTGTGTGTGCTCCCACTTTATGCATTGCCTATTAAGGCAGATGAATACTGCTCTGTTTGCTGCTCTATGGAGGAGTTTATTCCTGGAGTTCGAAACTAAATAGACACTGAACACCCGCTTGTTTTTGTGTGAGTAATGGAGAGCGCTTGCACACAACTGCCTCATAAGATCCGGTTGTTTCTGTTTCTTGGCAAAGTCGAAATGATTCTGTCCAACACCCAGTGGGCCTGCAGCTGCCTCTCTCTCTCTCTCTCTCAAACACACAAGATCATCTCTTTCATTTCTTGTGTTCCTCTTCCAGTATTTAGCACTGTCTTTCCCCTCTCTTTAAGACTTTACAGCTGAACGGCACAGGAAGTAATGCTTTGGAGATGTTAGTGAAGTAAACACCCTGAGAAAACCTGTGTTCATTCAGTATTTCAATATTGTAATGCAGAAACATACAAGCTCCTATTAAAAGGCACAGTGGTGGTTCCATGGAAAAATTATGGAATTGGATTGTGAATTTCATGGCAATTTATTGTGTTAATGATTACCAAATTGAGGGACCATGGTATTTATATTGAACAAAATGGTGTTTAATTAGATTGAAATCTGGTTAGTGTATTTATATGTATTAAGCTAACAATTGTTGGTTCCCGGAACATTCCGTGAACGTTATTTTATGCAAGTAAAATGAAACCTAAAAAGAAAGCTTCTTGAATGTTAGTATTTGTTTCCCCAAATAATAACCAACTAGAACAAAGTACAAAAATTTGGGGGAATATATTCTGTTTGCTAGTTTGTTTTTTTCAGTTTCTGGCTGCAATTTTGGCTTAATCCGGTTATGACAATTGTAAAATGTTGCGCTTTGAGTATGAGAAATGCTCATTTCAAATAGAATTTGTTATTATTATTAATTAAATAGCCTATGTTTACATGAATTCCATATTCATGTTCATGTGTAGAATATACAGTTGATTCTTGATTTTTCTCCCCAAATAGGTTACAGAATATCCTTGCAAAAGAAAAACATCTTGCTGTATCATCATGGTACATTACCATTAATAGTTTATTACCATCTCTCCACCACAGTACAGTGTAAAGGCTAAACGTTCCTTAAATATGATATGATATCTTCTCGTATAGCCTACCAATGAACTCAAAACAAGGTTACAGTAACAGTGTTTCATTGACTACACGCCCAGCCAGAGCAGCTCTCTCCTCTCGTAACGAAAGACTGCCATAGGAACTGAAAGAGAGAAAACACTGATGCTGGGCCGCCCTGCTGTCGGTACAACGGCGTGCGCGCGCGCACACAAACACAGCACCGAGAGAGAGAGCGCGAGAGAGCAGCGTGTGTGTGATGACCGAGAGCGCGCGGACAGAACTGCTGCTTGTGAGTGTGATTTAACCCTCGTCTCCAGGCAACCAGCCCGTTTGGAGGACCGAATCCTCCCGTTCAGCTTTGCTGCACCGGGACCGCGTTATACAGTAAATATCCGGTGCATCATTCCATCATTGAGCTCCGGTATGGACTAGCGGCTTTATTCATACAGCAGCGCACGGCGGAGCGTCTGTTTGTCGGTGACATGCTGCAGAAATACTAAAAGGAAACCTCGCCGTACAGTCCGGATTGTTTTTGTTCTCGTGGATTAAACTTGTGTCCGGGATGGGGAAGGAGCAGGAGCTGCTGGAGGCGGCGCGGACCGGGAATGTGGGGCTGGTGGAGAAGCTGTTGAGTGGGAAGAAAGGATTGCTGGGCTCGGGCTCCGGCTCCATACCTCTGCCCGGCTTACTCAGGTATGGAAACAAACCAAGTTTATTTCTGTGTGTCGTCGGCTAAAAGGGTTTTCCGCGAGCCCACCGGTTCCGTGCTGTTTATCAATACAGACAGAGAGATTGCAGTTGCTTGAGCAATGCAATGCATCACACACACCCACTCTAGGCATCCCCGACCCACTGCTCCCCTCATACACTGTGTGTGTCGGGATATATGGGAGACTGTTTGTTGTCTGTTGAGAGACATATCTTGTTTCAACGTCTGCAACTCAGTGTTCTTTTGAGCTGCATATCTCAGATTTTGATATGTCATTCACATATCTGCCTGATTCAAATTAAAGTAGGCTAGTTTAAAAATCCATAACTTCTCCATAAACTGTGCCTATTAATGTGAAGTACAAAGAGTGCTGTTGTTTGTCATCCTAATGAACACTTGAGACTTTAATTCTGTGAAAATATCACGTGTCTCTTCTGGAGTTTCAGAAGAGATCGCTTCCAACTGTGCTTGGATTTGCCAAGATAGCAAAGTCTGCAATCAAAAAGATGAGATTATGGTATTAAAGGGGATAGATCACTCAAAAATTCTGAAAATTCTTGAATTCTGTCATTGTTTATGTTCCAAACCGGTATGACTTTCTTCTGTGGAATATTATAGATGGAAGTATAACCAAAACTGTTTTTTAACTGGTTACTAACATTCTTCAAAATGTATTTTTTTTATGTTCCAAAAAAGTCATGCAGGTTTGGAATGAAACGAGGGTGGGTAAATGATGGCAACATGTTCAATTTTCTTGAACTGTCCCTTTAACCCAAGCATTACTCCCCCCAAAAATTTGGGCTATAGGCTACTGTCCACATTCATTTCATAGCTCTGTATCAGAGGGGGGAACAGCACGGGAACATGATGAGGGGGGCCCACCACAGTACTTGCATTGGGTTGAGGAGTGGTGAAGCCCACCCATAAAAATGTTGTCCCAGGCCCCATGAACATTAGAACGACAGCCCTGCTAAGACATTTTAGGATACACTTTGAGACTAAATAGATATTTAGAGCCAAGGGGTAGTTCTCCCAAAATTGCCCTCATGTCATTCCAAACCTGACTTTATTTCTTGGTTGGAACACAAATTAAGACATTTTTAAAAATGCCCATGCAATGATAAGTCCAGTGACCAATTTTGGACCCCATTGTCTTTCATTATATGGACAAAAATCTTCTTTTTTTTAAATTATTATTTATATTTTTGTTTCAATAACAGGGAAATCATATTCATATCTCAAATAACAACAAATAAACAAAGTAGAATAAACATAGTAGAATAAAAACAGTTTTTAAATTAATCACATCTTTAAATAAACTCATAAAGCATTAACGCTATTTGTTTTATTATTATTGTGTATAATCTGATGGATGACTTCCAACACAATGGAGATTTAAACCGTTTAGAATACCAAATAATGACGTGGGTAACATTTTCAAGAGATAACTGATCATTATAAAAAATGTCTTTGAGAACAAAGGAATGGATTGTTTCTGGAGGCTAAAATTAAAATAACAGCCCGGAATTTATTGTCTTACTTATTTATAAAATGTTTTATTCATTTATTTATTTTTACTGGACAATCTTAGCTTTTTTGTGTGGTATTTGTTGCTGCTATTTAAAACTAGTTGGTTAATGGAGGTTTAATGAAGCCTCATCATAAAAGGTCACAAATTGTCAGAATCAGAACAAACTTTAACACTTATGTTGTTAGTAATGAGTCGTGATTTCTCCAGTTTAGCATGTGTTGCGTGGCTTGTGTGTGTTGCATCCCTCCGTGATGTGTTTTATCAGCTGTTCTTGTATGTGTTTATGGTTCTCTATGATCCCGGAACATGTTATCTTCGTATCTATCTTCACATCAGTATGTAAAATGACAAGTGTGGAGCAGAGAGAAGGAAACGTATGCTTGGGGAATGGCCAGGCAGAGATGGGGGGAAGGGCACCTGGGAACGACATGCCTGTTCGCGTCTGTGTGTGAGCTTGTGAGGCCGATCGAGCAGAGAAGTGTGCCACCCGGCTCAGCCATCATCCACCCCGCTGGTTAAAACAGCGAGTACAATCAATGCCGCGCATGTGCTGCCGGGACAAAAGATCCCTCTCCCTGCTAATCGGCATTTTTTTTTTCCAGTGAAACGGCTGATGTGCCGTAATCTCGCTGCTCCTCTGATTTAGGGCGCAGGAGGCATATTCTGTTGTTTTGTGGTGGATCCTTGTGGTTGGATGGTGTGTCTGTGTTTTTCTCTTATTGGGTCAGGACTATTGGCTGGAGGAATGGGACAGTGTGGTACAGGGCTTCGGGTCTGGCTCTGTCCATCTGTCCACAGCGCTGGAAGTTGTGCCGCTATCTCTCTTAGAGCTCTGCGGTGTCAGTTAGTGAAGGAGCATCGCCCGGGGAGGATTCACATGCTGGCCTTATCTGAAAACGAGGACGGCTCATGACAGGTCAAAGGTCACTTGAAGAAGTTGAGAGATGTGATTATATTCAGAATGGAATAGATTTTTTTTTTTAATTATAGAAATTCACATGACCTTATTAAAGTGAATTTGTGAATTATATATATATAATTGATATTCAATTAAAGGAGTCATTCACATTTAAAAAAACTTTTGCTGATAATTTATTCACCCCCATGTCATCCAAGATATCCATGTCATTCTTTCTTCAGTCGAAAAGAAATTAAGGTTTTTAATGAAAACATTCCAGGATTTTTCTCTATATAATGCACTTTACTGGGAACCAAACGGTTGACGGTCCAAATGAGAGTTTCAGTGCAAACTGCAAACTGTTCAAAGGGCTTTAAACGATTTCAGACGATGAATAAGGGTCTTATCAAGTGAAATGATTGCTCATTTAAAAAAAATAACAAAGTTTAAGTTTTATAAACTCAAATGCTCGCCTTGCTCTGTTCTGTGATGCGCGTTCGTGACTCTCCTGTTCGAACTCGTTCATCAAAATGAACAAATCTTTTTTCAAGTCATTTGGTTCATTCAACGATCAACATGAACATGTTGTTGATAATGAGCATTTCATTGTGAAATACAGGATTCTGTGCAGTGTTCTCAGTTGTGTGCCGTAGTAGTAGGTCATTCAGATATTCTATCCATGCTGTCGACGTCCCTTTAAGGCAACTCAGTTTTCACAGCGGTCATCTTGGAAACACCCCAGGCTGCTCATTTATGTTGATAATAGGCAAATAAAGCATGTTCGAATGAAACAGGCTTGTGGCTTTGACCTCTGACCACCACTGACACACATACTCTGTTGCAAGGGTGACGGGACTCGCTGCTGTATGATCAATGTTTTGTGCCCTCATAGTGCTAATGGATTAGCCCATCAATAATGACACAGTGTGTGAATGCTGCATTAGGCAGCACTGCACTTAGAAACACATGATTTCAAATGATACTACATTCATACGCTCATTGCTTAATATGATAATGATTAAATAAAACGCATAGCAATTATTTGTCTCCTAGTCAGGAATCGGCCTTGTGAGGTTGTAGTTGTATATATATATATTTTTTTTTCTATTTTCTGTCTAAAAAGCATTGATATATATATATATAACATCAATTACTGGCATTGATTCAGCATGATGGATATTGTGATGATGTTGGTTATGAAACAAGATCCACTTGGCTACCAGTCACTTTGCTGATTGCCTTGTTGTCTAATATGAGGTCATTGAGCATGTCGATCATGCTTTGCAGACACGCTCCTGATGTGAAA